TTTTGTTGTTGTTTGTTCGTTGTTATGTGCCTTTTAAAACTTTATTTTTTCCTTTTTGCTGTCTCAAGTATCATTTTGCCAGAGTAATAGTTTTTGTGTGAATGTTGTATGATTGTCCTGCATGGCTAAGCTTTAAACAAATATGCTGATCAGGCTTTGCCACATGTCACACATTTTCTCCTAAATTCTCCTTCATTATAAGTAATTATTTACAAGATACAACATGTTTTGTTGTTTTTTATGTTCAGAAGGTGGAGATATGGAGCACCAGGTCAATTGCTCTGAAATAAATAACTTTCCCCCACTTTCAACATGGATCTCTAGGTTGGAAGATTCTGAACGTTTTCCACTTTGCATCCTAATGTCTTCATCTCCCAATTGGTTCCCAATTGCCAGGGAAACATTTAGTACAATGCCAATTATAAATAAAAATGTGAAAATCTACTTGAAAGTCTTATTATTTTTTCATTTGACTAGTTTTATCTTTTTGTAAGATTAACATACATTTATTTGAACTACCCCTAACATTTTTTAAAATTTATTTTATAGCAATAAGAAAAGAGATAGCTGGCAAGTCTCACAAGTGTTTATCATTTGCACTAATACAACTAACTCAAACAGTCTCCCCCAGCTAACTAATAACTAACATTTATTTCAGTAGGTTGAATGTTAAAAGCCCCAAATGTGATGATAATGCTTATATCTCAGCAAATACAGGCGAAACAGAGGTGGGCTTTGTTCCAACATTTGGACCTTGTTATCTGAACCTTTATGGAAGCCCTAGAGAATACACAGGATTCCCAGACCCTTATGATGAACTGAATACTGGAAAGGTTAGTTTCTCAATTAAGGTTGTTATTAATGAGCATTGATTAATGGAAGTCCTTCTTATAATGGTTATATGACTCAGATTCATATTTAAGGGACCTACCCATACCCCAGTGTAGACCCACCATATGACTGATATAGTATTGAAGGGTAGATGTCTTGGCTCCTCAAGTCTTAGAATGCAAGAATAAGAAAGGATTCTTGGCATCATCTAATTTGGTGCTGGAAAATACATAGTGTGGCCATTCTACCCCACTTCTACACTTAGGGTAGATAGACATCAGTAATCAGTGCTGGCACTCTTTACTGACAAAGCACTGTGCTAGCTGGAAATGCTTTTCAACACCATGTTCTAGGAAGTTACCAAACAATTAGAGGTGATGTGTCTGATGAAATTCTTCACTATCCCTGATCTGATTCAACCCCTTCATTTTAGAGATGGGAAGTTCTCTTTTCACCACATTAGAAGCCAAAGTAATGTCTTTTAGCTATCTCTTAAGGCCCAAGAAAGGAACTGAGGTAGAGAGAAAAAGGCCTGGGAGGGAAAGGGTAGAGCACTGGTTACGGAGATGGGAGCCCTCCTTTCCTCTCCAGAAGAGTCTGTTGGCAACACAGCTGGGAAGGAATGGATGGCGACAGCCACTTGGTATGGTAAGAGGAGTATCCACTATTCATCCTCATGCTCAGTCAAATCATCTTCCCCCTTTATTTCCTGGTTACTCAGAGAGTTGCTCTGGTTGCCAACATGGCAGCCTCCTTCTTCTGAGGAGTAAAATAACCAAGTTAACACAGGCAAATGCAGAGCAGAGTTGGTGAGGGAGACCCAGAGTCCTTTCCACCTCCACCCCAGCCTCTGACACAGGGTATGACTTGAAAACTTCTGACCTTGGTCATGGCTAAGTTCCCTTTCAACCCATCCCAGGGATCCTTCCTGAAGTTGCTGGCTCTTCTTTCAGATACCAAAGACCAAAATCTACCTGGGAATCTTGCTGACTAATTGATTTTGAAGGTTGTCCATTGTTGTTGAATCAATTCTGACTTATAGCAACCCGATATAACAAAGTAGAACTG